AAAAAAAAAAAAAAAAAAAAAAAAAAAAAAAAAAAAAAAAGCTGTAGTGACATCGAACCGCACAATGTAAGCATTGAGCATGTGCAAATTTTCAAATCAAAAGAAGGAAACCATCCCTCTTTACAACGTGGTATCTTGACACGTACGACCATAGGCTAAGAAGACTGCTCTGAGTATGTGCCAGTTTTAAAAGAGAAAAGCTTAGATCTTCAAGCATATTGGAGCAGTCCCAGAATGTTGCTGTAGGCTTCTAAAGCATGATCGCTGGTTGTTTCATGTGTTCGCCATTTTTCTGGGCAAAAGCAATTCCACTTCCTCTGAAACGTGTCTCCAAGATACTTCTCTGTCCTCAGCCGGAAGAGATACAGTTCAGAACCCACATCAACTTGATCCAACCAAGTGTTCCTTCAACGAGAGGGGCAGGATGGTCTATCATCTGCTGACTGATCAGGATTTGGATCAATCTAGAAAGAAATGAGTAAACAAATTTACAAAGTTATTTGGTGAGATGTAGGAATAATGTAGCCAATTCTGAATACTAGTCAAGAAATATAATCAGAGAGAGTGTACACAGCTTGTTAGCATATTATATCCAATTACTCTCCTTTTATATCTGAAATGCTGTGTGGAAAGGGAAAAGGTACTGGTATTATCTATAAAGTGCCTAATATTTAATTACTAGATCAACAAGATTTACAAAGGTATGTCTCGTAGTCCCCCCTATTTCACAAAAGTTAAAAGTAAAATTTTATCGGTCAATGAAGACTTTTACTCAGTACTTTAGTAGTACTAAAGACCTAAAGATACAATGTAGAGTACCTTCACAGCAATCATCTCCTTTCGTAAAGTACCCCTTTCATCCTTCTACAAAAAAGTTAACTTATCACTTCCTGACTTTGGAAAAATCAAATTGTGTAAACAATGCTCTTTGTTTATACAATGTGAAAACAATTTGTTTACTCACATAAATAATGTGCTTATGTGAAGTAATAACTAATGGTCATAAAACCCCAGAGAGGGCCAAAAATGCAATGTGTGTATCAGGAAAAACTGCTGAAACCAAAACACTCAAGAGGTGCCCCCCTCTTGGAGTGACTCCCCTTTATCAGAGTGACTTTCTTTTTTTTTTTTTTTTGAGATGGAGTCTCACTCTTGTGCCCAAACTGGAGTGCAATGGTGTGACCTCGGCTCACTGCAACCTCTACCTCCCAGGTTCAAGCGATTTGCCTACTTCAGCCTTCCGACTAGCTGGGATTACAGGCACCCACCACCATGCCCAGCTAATTTTTTGTATTTTTAGTAGAGATGGGGTTTCACCAGGTTGGCCAGGCTGGTCTTGAACTCTGACGTCAGGTGATCCACCCACCTCAGCCTCCCAAAGTGCTAGGATTACAGGCATGAGCCACCACACCCAGCTAGGAGTGACTTTCATACTCACATGTTCTTAATGAAAAGTTGCTTCTCAGGTGTAAAGAGAATGGTCACAGAAAAGCAAATTGTTGGGTTTAATATATTTTTTTATTGAAAGAGCTTTTGGACGAGAGCCATCCACTTGCATTTAAATGTGGAAAAACCCAAACTGCCACAGAAGCTTTAGGTAAAACACATTTTTGAAGGAAAAAAGCCAAGTAACTTTTAGTTAAATCACACCCTGAACATATTTTAGGATTTTAGAAGTTGTACATTATCTTTAGTGCTAAAAATTTTTAAAAGGAGGCAGAATTTTCCTACAAATTGCTTAAAAGTAAACTATACTTAGATTGCTATTCTTTTTAAAATGCCCCCCTAGACAGCCAGGAAGCCTCAAATCAAGCCAGAAATGACAGACTTAAGAAGCAAGACAGAAATGTCCAAATAAAAATGTAATAACATCTGTAGCAAGTGGCAGAACACTTTTAGCATCTAATAGAAAATTTGATGTATTGGAAAATAGATAAAAAATTATGGCTCATGAAGAATTCTGAATATTCTATAATGAATGAAGATCTCATATTATCACATCTAAAAGAAAACTGACCCTTCCAGTTATAGTGTTAAGAAAAAAAAGAGCAATTTGATGACCATTCCTCTGATATTTAATTTGGGAGTAATATTTCATTGTAAAATAGCTATGTAAATTACAGTAACCAAAAAAAAGGTGATTCTAATAATTTACAGAATTATTTTGATATCAAAGCCAACTTCAAAACCCCTTAAAAATATGTACCAGTGGCTCACGTCACTCTGAAATATCCTGAAATCGCTGGATACCCCACCTAGTCACTACTTGTCTTTACACAGGCTGCTCTCCCTGCCTTTTGAGGACTTTACAGTCTTCAAAATTCAACTTAATAGCCACCTTTCCAAGAAGCCCCACCTGAGTCCCAAGACCCAATAAGCTGCTCCTGAAATTAGCTGTGTATTTTATCACATTATTATGTAATATTTTGCTTCTTAGCTTGTTTTCCTCAGTAGCCCGTGGGCTTCTTCTAAGGGTCATGTTCTATTTACTTTTAAGTGCTGAGCTGTCATCAATCTAAGATGAATGAAAACAGTCCAACAGTGTGCGAATGTTGTTTTAAGATGTTATTACAAATAAATTATATTTTATGACTGAGAATCTCAAAATATGCAAGAATTGGAAAAGAATCATGAATAAGATAAATTCTAGCTATTTAATCAGTGCTTGCAAAATGCCAGTTCTTCCTGTCAGTGCTTGTATATATAAAATTCTTCCTTCAAAAAATGTGTCTCAAGATACAAACTTAGTAAGTATTGACAACCCTAATCTTAACTTTTAATCTGTTTTAAATTATTTGTTTGGTTATTACCATGATAATCAAGACCTAACTGTATTAAAAAAAATCCTGCAATGCTGTTTTCCAAGAGAGCCAGTTCATTTCATACTTAAGGAGTAGGTACTCACCTCTGAATAAAGAGGTGGAGGCAAGAACCGAAACTCCTGGATATATGCAAACAGTGGTCCTTGAAGTGCCCTCTCAAAGTCATCACAAGCATTCATTGGTGCAAGATTGTTCCGCCTTTGTTCCTCTGTTACCACTTCTGCATAGCTGGGTGGTGCTGAAGGAAAAAGATACACGCAATTCGAACAGCATGTTCTTATGCATGTCAAAATACACAGAATAGTAGGTATTAAAAAGGAATGTCAAGGTAAAATAATTATTATTTGTTTGGTGATTAAAACTATAAAGACATAATCAAAACTGAGTATTATGGGGCACATCTACTTTCTTTAGGGAAAGATTACATTCATCTAGGGTCATAAAATATCAGAAGCAAAATAATGTTCTTGATAATAATAGTAAGAGATTAAACTTAGATATGTATTATCAAATTACCTTCAGGTCTTTCAGGAAGGGATAAACCGAGCCAGTTCATATTCATGCTACACTGACTGCTTACACTGGAGGTTCTGCTACCAAATGGATGTAGAGGAATGGTACCGATGACAAGTGGCAAATTAAGAAATAAATCCATAGCTCCAGGAATATCCACATATACCTAAACATTGCAAAGAATATTCAGTTTAGAATGCCAAGTATGATTTCCTTTTTAAAAACTAATAACTGGCCGGGCATGGTGGCTCACACCTGTAATTCCAGCACTCTGAGGGCCGAGACGGGCAGATCACGAGGTCAGGAGTTTGAGACCAGCCTGGCCAATGTGGTGAAACCCTATCTCTACTAAAAATATAAAAAATTAGCTGGGTATGATGGTGTGCACCTGTAATCCCAGGTACTCAGGAGGCTGAGACAGGAGAATTGCTTGAACCCAGGAGGCAGAGGTGTGTATAATTCTGTATAGTACATTTACATATTAAGTCACAGTGTATACAGTTAATATATTTTTGTATGCCACTATATATAGAATTAAAAAAATCAAATCCTGGATGTAAGACAAAATTATGCCTTCATAACTTTAAGTCTTAAAAACAAAATAATTAAAAAAAAAAAAACACCAAAGATGTTTTGGGCCAGGCACTGTGGCTCATGTCTGTAATTCCAACACTTTGGGAGCCCATGGCGCATGGATCACTTGAGCCTAGGAGTTCAAGACCAACCTGGGTGACATGGTCAAACTCCATCTCCACAAAAAATACAAAAATTAGCAAGGCATGGTGGTGCACACCTGTAGTCCCAGCTACTTGGGAGACTGAGGTGGGAGGATTACTTGAGGCAGAAAGCAGAGGCTGAGATTGTGCCACTGCAATCCAGCCTGGGTGACAGACAGAGAGGGAGATCTTGTTTCAAAAAAAGAAAAAAAGAAAGGATAAAAACCTCTTAAATGTGTACATACCATTAGTGAATATTCCACACGGATGATACTACAGTCGAGGATAGAGGGAGAAACTGGTGGAATTTTCAGCAACTTGCCATTCCACGTCTCTGTCTTTCCAGATGATAAGGATTCCCCACGCAAGTTAGCCACAAGCTGTTTTACTTCCTTCATTTTCCCTTTGGCATAGAAAGCCTGTGTTTGGTAAATGGCTGCCTTTGGCACCACCATTCGGGAAGAGCAGTTCTCAATCTCAGCAAATATCTGAATTGATTCACCTACAGAGGAAAAAATATATACATATCTCCTGTTAGAAAAAAACAACAAAAGAAATCAAGATTCTTAAAGCGAAAGTAAGAAAGTGCAACTAACAAGCATGAAAAGCTGTCCTAAGAAGTGCAAATAACTTAAGGGTCATAGAAATGAACTAATCAGTGGCAATTTGAAAAAGGAAACTAAATGCCATTTTGTGGAAAAAAAAAACAAAAACGGATAAGCACAATCTGTTATTTTACAAAATAATACTATGTTCATATTTAGTAGTAACATTATAAAAGTTATACATAAAAGCTAAGTGAAGAAAGTTTTTTGTGGGAATCTACCTCATACATACCTGGGGTATAGCCCTTCCTTTCAATTTTGGCACTTAAGGATATTGGGCCTGAGGTACAGAACCAGCAACAGAGTGTCTTCTCTTTTGTGCCTGCTTGGGGTGACTGTAAGAAAAAAATTTAGAGAAAAGGGTCAGTGTATAGATTGGTACAATCAATACCAGAATATTTTAAAATACAACTCTAAATTTGTGGAGAATTTAAAATTAAAACTGGTGTTGCTTTTTTTCGTATCCAGATATACTTATTATTTTTTTTATTAACTGATGGTTTTGAATTATACCACTACTTTTTATATAATTTTCCATTCAATTAGAAAAAAAAGGTAAAGGGTTACAGCCTATCCCATAAACATAGTTTTTTAGCACACAATTTACAAATACAGTAATTAAAAACCAACCAAACAAAAAAAACCCTTTCCACATTTCATTTAAACTGCCTTAAAAAGGCAGCACAGAAAGCAATTTGATTATAATCCCAAATGTTAACATCTTTCTCTGAGAATATAAAAAAAGTATGTAAAAACAGGAAAATGCCAATTTCTTATTTGCTTTAAAGATGTTATCATTTGTTTAAACCAAGTAAAGTTTTAAGTCAAATTTGAATTACTCTCATACAAATGCAATTAAAAATAGATTCCTTTAAAAAAGGAATTAAGTTTTTTTCATGAAACTAATGATTCCCCATTATTTGACAACTATCCCTCTACTGGAATAACAAAGTATAGGAAATTTTAGATTATGATATTGTTAAGTGATATTGTCTTACAATAAAAGATACTACTACTGTTCTTCCACTCAGATCATCCAAGGACCAGATCTGTTTTTCGTTATGGCTGTCATATTCTGAGTAAGAGATACTTCATATCAAATCTGGTCTTGGTTTTATATTTACTTAAAGTTAATATAAAAAATGTGAGCATATTTTTCATTCATTTGGGTGTTCTTGACTGTATTTAAGAAAATGTATATTTATGAAATTTTAAAATAAAATAAAACCAGTATTTTAAAATCATGACAACTGCATAGTTTAGGTGATTATTCTTTAGGATTTATATGCCAAAAACAAAGAATGAATTCAGTCAGTTCTTACCAGTAATGAAGGAGTGTTGATATCTATATGCTCAAAGACTGTAAATTCCTTCTTTAATTTTACTGGTAGTAGCCAAGGCCTGTGCAATTCGGCTTTCACCCAATAGCGCACACTGCCATGTCGGCCTTCGAATGAGGTAGCAAGTGGTCTGTGCAGAATATAAAGGTCAATATATTAATTTTATACCTCTTTCTAACAATTACACAGTAGGTCAGAATAGAAGTGTTAATATATTGTATTGTTTATATACCAATGAGGTATCAAACATATAATTTAAAAAATTTCCAAAGGGATAAGTCATTGGGGAAAAAACTTTCTATTTCCAAGTAACAATAGATAATAAGTATCTTTAAAATTCTGTTTCAAAAAGCCAGAAGAATACAATCCATTTAAACTATGAGGAGGCTACTTTTAATTATGGTGGCAAAATTATGAGAGTTTAATGGACCTATTTTGAAAAGACCAAGAATTAAAAAACAAAGTTGAGAATGATTTAACTATTTCTAGTGATAAATTCTAGACACTGGTTAAACAGTCAGACCAAATTCCCTATAGTACTCCACTTCTCGTTAGCCAGGAATTACCATCTTTTTATAGCAACTAATTTAGGTCTAAAAAAGGCCTGAAATAGTCATTATAGTTTCAAAAATTTCACATTTCATAAGTTCACTGAAAAACTACTTTTGCATCTCCAAGTTTACTTATGTTTTAATTCTTGTTTGGCTATTCTCTAACTTTACAGGCTTCAAAAGAAAAA